GAAATTTACATTTGTTATGAGTTCTTAGAAATAACATGTTTCAAACTCCTGGTCTAATAAACTTAACAAGTGACTGAATTAAACAATACATTTAGTTCTCGACTTACAATAGTACACTTAGTGACTGTTCAAAGTTACAACAGTGACTTATGACCATTTTTCACATTTACAACTGTTGCAGCATCCCCATTGTCATGTGATCAAAATTCAGATGCTTAGCAACTGACTCACATTTATGACTGTTGCACTATCCCAGGGTCCTGTGGTCACCTTTTGCAACTTTCTGACTAGCAAAGCCAGATTGACTTAATAACTGTGCTCCTAATTTAACAACTGTGGTGATTCACTTAACAACTGTGGCAAGAAAGGTCATAAAATGGGACAAAATTCACTTAACAAATGTCTCATTTGGCAAGAAAAATTTGGGGCTCAGTTGTGGTTGTAAGTTGAGGACTGTCTATATCAGTGGTTCTCAACCTTTCTAATACCGTGACCCCATAATACAGTTCCCCATGTTGTGGTGACCCCCAAGTGGGTGTGGCCATCAATAAGAGGGAGTAGGACAGCTAGGGAAAAGGGAAAAAAATGGCGGACAACGTGGTTTGGCGACCCCCGTGAAATGGTCATTCGACCCCAAATGGGGTCCCGATCCACAGGTTGAGAACCACTGGTCTATATGAAATAAATTTCTTACAATTTTAAAATTAGATCAGTTCTGAAAAAAAAAAGTGATGTGATATTCAAGAAACTATCATTACAATTGTCCTGCCTTTGCAACTCTAGCACAGGTTTAACCCATGTGGTTTTGTCTTGTCTTGTTATTGTTGGGTTTTGTGCTGACATCAACAGAATTTTTAATATGTTATTAATTATGGCTCAGTTACTGTACATGAAAGATTAATGATCTTCTTGGCTATAGTCCCATGTTTTGGAATCTATCAAACTATTCAAAGAATTATTATTCAACATTGGAGGGAGAAATCTATACTTGATTTGCAGCAGTGGTTTACTGATGTGCATTTGTCAACATCTGAACTAATCTTGGAACAAGGAATGGTATATTTTATTGTTCTATTTGTAATGTAACTTCCAGTGTTGTTATAAATTTTCCCCTCTCCCCTTTTTATTGCTATGCTTATCAATTTTGAAATTGTTTTTCTATACTGTTATAGCAATTTGTTTCTTTCTTTTGCTATTCGGTTTATCAGTAACCATTATACATTCAACATCTGGATATTAACTTTCATTGGTTGTGCTAATAATATAGGGTTACTACGGTAGCAATATAAATATTAAGAAGTAATTGTTGTGTCTTTCCTATTTACTAAATTTGTGAACAAAGGTTGAATTAGTAACATGAATATGAAATATCCCTGTAATTGCAACATCTTCTCGGAATAACAAAGTTGGAAGGGACCTTGGAGGTCTTCTTGTCCAACCCCCTGCTCAAGCAGAAAATCCAATATCATTTCAGACCATGGTTGTCCAATCTTTTCTTAAAAACCTCCAGCACTCACAACTTCAGTAGGCAAATCGTTCCACTGATTAATTGTTCTGTCAGGAAATTTCTCCTTAGTTCTAGGTTATTTCGCTCCTTGATTAGTTTCCATCCATTGCTTCTTGTCCTGCCTTCAGGTGCTTTAGAGAGTAGTTGACCCCCTCTTCTTTGTGGCACTGGAACACTGCTATCATGATTCCCCTAGTCCAGTGGTTCTCAACCTTTCTAATGCCGCGACCCCATAATACAGTTCCCCATGTTGTGGTGACCCCCAACCACTTATACATCACTGGGTGCCAGGGGCGTGGCCAAAGAAAAGGGGGAAAAATGGCGGACAACCTTGTTTGGCGACCCCCGTGAAATGGTCGTTCGACCCCAAATGGGGTCCCGACCCACAGGTTGAGAACCACTGCCCTAGTCCTTCTTTTTATTAAATTAGACATACCCAATTCCTGCAGCCAGTCTTTATATGTTTTTAGCCTCCAGTCCCCTAATCATCTTTGTTTTGCTTCTCTGCACTCTTTCTAGAGTCCCAACATCTTTTTTATATCCTGGTGACCAAAACTGGATGCAATATTCTCAGACACTTAATTGTTCTACTGTAGATAACTTACCTTGATTGTGTTCTTTAAGCTGTTGGGACTCTAACCAGAGCACTCAAACCTATTTACACAGTATTAAGTCAGATAGCAGAAAAAAATAATAGAGGAGAAAGGTATACGTATGATAATAACATATTACTTGTATAGGTTCCTGGAAATAGGAACCCTTCTATGGGTAATCATCCTTTGTCTGGAAATCGTTACATCTCAATCAGATGAAACTGGGGAAGGTTGCACAAAGTTACATTAAAGTTCATAATGGCTATGCTTTTTTAAAAAAAATAGAAAACATAACAGACATTTTGCTGTCAAATTGTGTGTGTTTGTGTGTGTGAGAGAAAGACTGCTGCAGGCTCTGCTATTTGGCAACCTGCTAAATATTGTTACACTTCTTCCTTCATTTTTTTGCATATAGTAATTCCCACCGATTTTAATACATTGAACGATTGGCTTGTAAATTGTGTACATGTGGATTCCAGTTTAATTAGCTGCAGATGCTGAGAGTTCTGAAAAGGAAAATCTTTGCTCAGTTTTGTCACTATTTGCAAGCATCAGCCAACTTTATGAAAAGGAATTTATCTGTGTGGTTTTAGAACTTTTTGATCAATTTGTGCTGGTAATGCCTATAAATATGTGCAGAAGTGCTAGTGTTCATATGCACAGAATGTACATATCTGCATGTTTAGGTAACCGAATGTTAGATTTTGTTAAAGAAAATCATTTTTAAAATCAGTAAGCTAGAATAAAAACGGGGGAAATAGACATTCTGTTTGCAGAATTGCTATTCTTTCACATTGTCACAACAAAGAACTTCAGCACCCCAAAGCAAAGTTTACAAATGTACACACACACACACCAAATGTGTTCCTAGAATTAATGTGACCAGGGCTCTATTGTGGCTTCTGTTTTTCATACAGTCTCGACCTTAGAACATATGAAATGCAGATGAAAAAAAGTGCCCCTGAACAGATGCAGACTCCCTTTTCCTCAACTCCGATTAGTAAAAAAAAAAATGAAGAATGGTTTCCAGATAGACTTAAATAGCAATACCTAAAAAAAAAGGGGGGGGGAAGAAATGAGAAACCGGATTTTTCCATTTAAGATGGGCATTTTCATCCTTCCCCATGGGTTCAGGCTTGGCCCCTGATCAACTCTAAGTGGAAGAAAAATCTCCAACTATTCACAAACACTGGTTTTCATCTTACAACTGGGGTTGTGTCAACCTTTCAAAGACCTGTAACCTTTCCACGTGTGAGGCTCCCTTCTGTTTTTGCAAAAGTGTATTTCCAGATTCACCAGACAACCCAGTCCATATCTACTTAGATATTTACCTGAGCTCATGGTAGATATTTCTCCCAGGTTAAATACAAGATTGCAACCTTATTCTCTCCTAGGGTTTTATAAAAATTATATCTGCTTGCTATATAATATTGCTCCATGTGCATATGATGAAGCAGACTTGACCACATAAACACTTCTCTTCAAAATAGCTGTTTGTCTTATATTCTATCTCAAGACTATTCCATACTGTATATGTTCTTCAGTAGACTCAGCCACTGTAAAATTTGTTTTAAAAAGTTCTCCCAGCAATTCAGTGACTGATTAGGATCTAAATAGCAATTAAACTTTGGAACTGCATTCAGGTATGCTAATACATATTGAGAAAAACTATAGACCTTGTGTTCGTCTCTACCACATTGCTTCTCTGTGCCAATCCTTTTTTTTAAAAAAAAAAAAAAAAAACTTCAATCCTGCTAGCAAATTGAACTGATACACGCCAATTTTCCTGTCAAATTACCTTTAGCTGCAAATATAATACCATTAAACCCAAACCTCAGGAAATTAGATCACAAAGGAAATAAAACCCAGCAGCAGACTCAGAACTGGTGATTACATGGAAGAACGATCTGGGAGGGAGAAGGGTGCATAGGTGGGGGAACTTCCCCAAAGAAGGCAGTGGCATATCACTGCAGAATTGTTGCCAATAAAACCACCACAGCACATCCATGAAGTTACCCATAATCAAGTTCAATTAGTAGTAAATTTATTTATTGCCCGTCTTTATTATTTTGATAAATAACTCAAGACGGATAACATTCCTAGTACTGTACTCTTCCCTCCTCCTGTTTCCCCCACAACCCTGTGAGGTAAGTTGGGCTGCGAATGAGTGACTGTCCCAAAGTCACCCAGCTGGCTTTCATGGCTAAGGCAGAATGGAACTCTTGATCTCCTGGTTTTTGCCTGGGGTCTTACCCAGTAGACCAGGCATGTCAAACTGCTGGCCCACGGGCCAGATGCTTCATGCAAAACCACGCCCACCCCATTGCCAGCAATGGGGGAAAAGTCCCAATAAGTCGCGCAATGTCACATGACGTCGCGAGTTTGACATGCCTGCAGTAGACCAAAACAGCTTTGAAAATCTCTTTTATATTTATAATCACCAATGCACAAATTTATTAAATTTTAAAATAAAAATAAAGAAGGAAGCTTCCAATCAGAGTACTTTCATCCTCAATCATGCCCCAGTGAAATGACAATACTTTCTTATTATCTTATCACAGAATTAGATAGGTGGAAGAGGGTTCACCAAGTCCACTCCTCTCCTTTTTCCCTGCAGAAAGCCAAAATGTACAGCAGGAGCACCTAACCTTGATAATTTTAAGACTTATGGACTTAAACTTTCAGAATTCCCCAGCCAGCATGCCACTGTTGGACATTCGGAGTGTCCAGGATAGAGGGCTCAGCCCCTCCTCTAGGAAGAGAAATTGTATCAAATAATTCAAGATGGCCATAATAGCACTTAGACTTATATACCGCTTCACAGTGCTTTACAGCCCTTTCTAAGCAATTTACAGAGTCAGCCTATTGCCCCCCAAAATCTGGGTCCTCATTTTACCCACCTTGGAAGGATGGAAAGCTGAGTCAACCATGAGCCAGTGAGGATTGAACAGCCGAATTGCTGGCAGTCGGCAGTCAGCAGAATTCGCCTGCAATACTGCATTCTAACCACTGTGTCAACATTGTGAGTAAAGCCCAGAAAAGTGGTGTTGCTAGGACATGTTAAGATACAAGTTGTTACAGGTTTTACACGAGTTAACTGTTTGCCCACAAAATACCCTAGTCTTCACCAAAATGACCTTAGTGAAAATCTTTCACTGCCTACAATGCTGTATTTTAACCACTGCCTCACGTGATTAAGGTGGTGGCGCTTCAACGGAGTGGCGCTTCAACCATGACAGTGGCTGCCATCTTGACGTTTTTGACCTCTTCTAAAAGGGAAAGCAACACCTATGTGAAAAATTGATTGCACCGCCCATTCACTCTCTAGAAACTGCCTACTTTTCTGCCACCCCGATAAAGGAGTCAGGTCATCCGTTTTATTTTTGAGCTAACCTCCATCCCCAGCCCGTAAAAGCGTGCATGGGTGCGTACCTGCATGCGTGCAGGTGGGGATCCTTTTCAACCCCAAAACAAAGCGACACTGTATGCTTTTGGCCAAGTTTTCCAGCGGCTGTTGAGCTGATCTACCACGGTTTTGCCCACGCCGGATGCTTGCAAAGAGCACAGACGCTCCTTAACGGGGGAAGTTATTTTACCTACCCTTATTAGAAGATTTCCTGCTTCTAACGACTTGTGCTCCCGTATAGATGGCCTATATATATATTGACCTGGGTTAAACGTCCTTCTGAGCGGAATAACGCGCAGACAAAAAAAAGAGAGAGAGAGAGAGAGAGAGAGAGCAACAGCTCCCTCACAACTTCTACACCCGAGCAGCTCCCGCCGCCGTTGGGCGAAATGAACGATCCGTGGCGCCTGGGCTTCGCAGCTGAGTTCGCTCCTCTCCTCTAACCCCCCCCCCTCCCGCTTCCCTTTCTTCCTCCGCCCTCCCCGTTATCCTTCGCCGGGACCCCCTTCCCTTTTGTTATTCGGCATGTCTGATTAGCAGAGGCCTGATTGGCTGGCTGCCTGTTCGGAAAAAAAAAAAAAAAAAGATTCCGCGCAGATCGGCCCCGCCGCTCTCCCAGTCCTTGGCAGGAAACGTGAGCGGGGCTGATGGAAGAAGCTGATAGGCAGCGGCTGAAGCGTTAGAGCTCCCGCGGCCGCCGCCGAGCTTTGACAGCAGCGCGCCGCGGAGTGGTGGGGCGGCCGCCGCGGCATCGCCTTCTTCACGCAGCGCGCCTGCCCGACTGAGATCCAAGCATGGACTGTTGCCGCCGGGCAACCGCTAGCGCTCTTCTCCTGGCTTCCTTGCTTCTGGTAAAGGCGTTTTCTCCTCTCCTGCCTTCTTGCTTAGAGAGCGACTCCAGAACGGAGAACGGGGTGGGTGGGGGGGTGGGTGGGGATGGAGGGGTGATGGTGGAGAGCGAGCGGTGCTACTACCTTTGGAAACGCTTTCTTGGACAGTTTGCTAGCGGTCCCGTTAAGAGGTGCCAGCTGAACGCAGGTCTTTAAAATAGGCGTCGCGGGGGGGGGGCTCCCCTTGGGCGTTGCTGGCACAGGCTTTCGAGAACGCGCCTTTGCGGAGAGCAACTTCTGGACATCGACTTAGGCGAAGTTTCTCTGGAACAAGTTGCGCCGAAGCAGCGCTGAGGACGATTCACCCGGAGGAGAGAATGCGGGGCTCTGACTCTTCTCCTTTTTCCTCCCTTCCTCTGTCTATTTTCAAGCTATTTCTCCCGCTTTGGATTAGGAAGGGAAGCAGGTTTCCCGCCCCCGCCCCCAGCGACCCAGTTCTTGATAAGAGCAGCGGATGATCTGTGCCCGCTGTTGGGTTCGCGCGAAACTCTAGAAGTTCTCTCTTGATCGTAAAGGTGCGCTGCTTTAGCAATAGATAAATCTGGCTATCAGTAGCTTGGCTTTCTTCTAATTGTACCCTCCACCCCTGTCCTTGGGGGTACAACTCTTGGAAAGGAACGTGTCCCTGTGAATAATCTTGTGAGGGGGACCAATGGTCTATCTCCAGTCATATTTCCAATGCAGCCACGCGTGATGTCTTTGAATGTCATTTCCAACGCAAACTAATGTGGTTCATTTGTTGTGGGAGGTAGTGGTGAAACAATATATTTCAGAATTTTTTTTTAAAAAAAATTGTAATTAGAATTTTATAATGGGTGAGAAGAAGGGGGAAAAAAATAATTGCCAGAAACTTTTAATATGTTTTGGGAAAATTCTGAAGAAAAAAAATCTTTGTGCAAATGCGAATTAAGCAAACCATTGCATGGGTTCATTGCATAAGCTTCATGGGTTTGCTTCAGAGTTATGGAGGATCACGCTTTCTTAGTGGCAGCAGTATCATATTTCATTTCAATTGGCTGCAGTTATCTGGATTCTTAAATTCGCTTCGCTGGAATTGAATTGAACTTGTGGAATTGGGCTATTATTCGGAAATTCCCCTTCCCTAACCTGCTGCTTATTAAATGTCCTGAACAGCAGCTCCCATCATTCACAACCAATGTGGTCAACATTAGCTCTAGATGAAGATAAATGTTGTTTCACATACAATATTTGGAGGGTGGCTGGTTATGGAAGGCTATTCTAATTTCAGCCAATGTCCACTGCTGTAATTAGCTTCCATTCTATCACCTTCACTAGCCCTGCCCTTGCACACAGGAGAATAGTTAAGGTACATAGAATGAGTCTTTAGCACAAAAATTCCAGTGGGCCGTTTTCTTGGTGTGAAGAATGTTTTCATTCCTGCAACCCTAGCAGTAATTGGGTTATGTCTAACAAGGACTTGTGTTGTCCTTCCAATTCTGTTATTCTGTTGAGGAGAGAACCCACCTAGAACCAAAGAAAAGTTTCCTGACAGAATGATTAAGCAGTAGAATGGCTTGCCTTCAGAAGATCCGTGGGTACTCCAACACTGGAGGTTTTTAAGAAGAGTTTGGACAACCATTTGTCTGAAATGGTATAGGGTTTCCCACTTGAGCAGGGGGTTGGACTAGAATATATACATACATATATATATACACACACACATATATATGTATGTATATATTCTAGGTGAGTGTAGGTCTATGTATGTATATATTCTAGATGAGTGTAGGTCTTTGGTTATTCGGGTTTTCTCCCGCGTAAAATTGGAAGTGTGTCTTGGCGACATTTCGACGAAGTCCCATTCGTCATCTTCAGGCTGGTGTTTTCAGCTTCGGGCTTCGAGGAGCAATGTGTGGTCTTAGCTGTTTCTTCCTTTTAAAAGGAAGAAACAGCTAAGACCACACCTTGCTCCTCGAAGCACGAAGTTGAAAACACCAGCCTGAAGATGACGAATGGGACTTCGTCAAAACGTCGCCAAGACACTTCCAATTTTACGTGGGAGAAAACCCGAATAACCAAAGACCTACATACAAACACCCACGAAAACCTCAGAAAATAAATATGGGTGAGTGTGTATATATATGAATGTTATGTATGTGTATGGGTATGTATATATTTTCTATTGAGAGCAGGCAGAATTTCATTTTTAATGTGTGCCAGTGTGCCCATAGTAAAAAATGAAAATAAATCTTATCTTATCTCATCTCATCTCATCTTATCTTCTTATCATCTTATCTTATATCTCCAAGATCCCTTCCAACTCTGTTATTCTATTATTCTGTTCAATTTATGTAGTATTGTATGTCCCCTAATGGTTACATATCTTATATTTATTGCTCAGAAGTTGAGTATGGTTTCCAGAAATCCTTGGAGTTTTTTTATGTCACACTCCTCTCCCCAATTCATTCCCAGCAACATGGAGATGAATTCGCCTTCATCGTGAGAAGATGCTGTGTTGATAGAAGAGAATATTTGTAGCTCAGGATTGAACTGTGGGACCCTTGGTGCTTTCTGAACTTGGTTATTTTCTTGCAGATGTTTATTATCAAACTAGGTAACATCGTGAGGAGCACTGATGATGTTACCTAGTTTGGTAGTGAAATGTCTGCAAGAAAACCACCAAACTCAAAGAACACCAAGGACCCCACTGATATTCTATTATATTTGGAAGATACTTGAATTGTCAATTTTAATCCAGCAAGAACCAGTTTTAAAGTATAATATGGATGAATGAATGAAAGATATTAAACCTATCCATAAGTTGTAATCTAGCAGATAAAATGCTGACAGACTGTTTGTGGGAGATTGTGGAGAGATGAGCTGCTGTCCAGAAAAATATTTAGCATTTCTTAATTGCATCTCAGAAATGGACATCTGGCCCAGTTCTTGCTTTATATTAATTGGAAGGGTGCCCTCTTCTTCTTCTTTTTTAACTGTGAGGACAAACTGGAGAAACAGGCATGATTTAACTATCTTCAAAACATGTCTTGGTAGTCTTCTCCACTGTTCATCAAAATAAAAGCATTCGTCTTTCTTGCCAAATGTTATTATGCACTATATTTTAATGCTATCATAATTTATACTAAGTAGTGAAGTGGATTTAACTCTTAAAAAAAGTATTAGAACTTAATGCAGGAATTTTTCAAGTTTTTTTCAGGCCGTAGAATCTGTTAATTTAAAAAAAAAAACATATTCCCAGAATCTCTTATCAAGGAGAAAAATTCTTAACAATAAAAATTGGTTCTATTCCAGTGAATTTTTTTAGCTACAGTATAAGGGTTCCATGGAACACCATTTGAAAAACATCGCTCTAAAGAATTTGTATGTTTCTTTGATATAAAAGGAGATTATAAATGAGGGCAAAATTAAGAGGTTAATTGATTAGTGGTTTTCTTGTGTATATGTGGCAAACGATTCCTTTTGCTTGTTATTGTAAATTAGGTATGTGTTAAGAGATGTGTAGTGAAAACCTCTAGCTGAATGGAAAATAAATTATACAGATCTGCAGAGCTTTCCCATTTAAAATAATCTCAAAGTCAGTGCAGTATTAAGTTTCATACAAAAAGTGTAGGCATTTTATTTCTCTTTTGTCAATGTATAGCTGTGTCTTCAAAGGTTGCTATTCCTACAAAGCTATGGCTTGCAGGGAGCAAAGATAAGCTACTTATATGCAAAGAAATGGGTGACTTTCACCTGCATCTTACCATCCTAAGATATCCTTCTCCAACCTAATGTCCTTCAGAAGTATGATTTCAACTGCTATAACAGGGGTGTTCAAACTTGGCCCTTTTATGACTTGTGGACATCAACTCTCAGAATTCCTCAGCCAGCGTAACTTCTAGCTTATTATTGACGCTTGGCACAACAGTCATTGGAAAGACTCTTTTAACATGGCATATCACAATGGTGGCGAACCTATGGCATGGGTGTCAGAGGCGGCACTCAGAGCCCTCTCTGTGGGCACACGCACCATGCTCCAGAAATGGCAACTGTCCCTCTTCAATCAGCCACCTGCTAACTCACCGAAATCACACGTGGCCAGATGCATTCCGGCACGGCTGGTTTCCCTCCCCCCCCATCCCATCCCTCCTGGCCTTGCATGCTCTCCTTTTCCTGGGCACGACCCACTGCATCACCTCCTCAGCTGTCAGCCGGTTGTCCAGCTCAGAAACTGCTTCTTTGAATTGCTGATGGCGGGCTGCAGAACCCCAGAGTGTGCCGGTGAGGGGCCGGCAGGCTGTGGCTGCTAACGGACAACGTTGGCCCCCATGCGCTTGCTGGCCTCTGTGTGCGGGGGCCGATGGTGTCAAGCAGCAGCCGCCCCAGCCCTTGCCTTGCCCCACGGCAATGTTACCCCCACCCTGCCTCACCTCACCCTGCAGGATAAGCCTCCTGCCTACCACCCCACCTGCCAGAGACTCCCTGGATCTCCCCCAACCCTGCCCACCCCCATAGGCGTCCCTCCCCACAAGCGACACTGAGGTGACTATGCCTACCTTGGCCACACCCAACCAA